CCATGTCCTTCCTGTGTTGAGGACTCCAGAACTGGACACAATACTCCAGGTGGGGTCTCATGAGAGCAGAGTAGAGGGGTAGAATCACCTCCCGTGACCACCTGCTGGCCACACTTCTCCTGATGCAGCCCAGGATGGGGTTGGCTTTCTGGGCTGCCAGTGCACATTGCTGGCTCATGTTGAGCTTCTCATCCACCAACACCCTCAAGTCCTTCTCCTCAGGGCTGCTCTCCAGCCATTCTCTGCCCAACCTGTATTTGCCTGGGATGGCCAGATACAGTTTCCCTCAAGCAGCCAACCATCATCCAGACTTGTTTACCTGCCTAGTGCTATGTATTAATTACATCCCACTGAGTTAGTGATCTATAACACAGCGTTCAGATCATTGGCACCACCTGATCAGTCTGTGTGTTCTGAGTATTAAACACCGCAGAAGAAAAGTGCCCGCAATATCCATGCAGCCGTAGCGCTGCTCCCACCTCTACACATCCTCTTGAAATATTTATGGCATTTATATTTTAAAATGGATTTGATGTGGCAAGTAGTAATAATAATAAACACCAAATTGCTGTCAGCTTTCTGTCATCTTGTAAATTGGAAGCAAAACTGATCCAATCTGAAAGTTAGCTAATTGTTTAGTGTTTTATCTGTTTTCCTAATAAATATTAAAAAAAAATTATGGAGCAAATGAATATGCTTAGACTTTGAGGTGGTACTAGTGCTACCTCACAACGATTAGTTTAACTGACTGCTCTTTATGCTGAGAGCTTGAATACTGCCTTCTGCAATCCTGAATGAGACGCAAAGGTAAGAGAACACAGATTCAAATGACTCTGAACCTCTTCTAATTCACATCTTACCTTTTGCACTGAAGCAGCTGATTCTCCGTGCTGGTGTCTGCACTGGCAAGGGCTGTGGGCTAAAGAGCATTAAAAAGTGATTAGACATTTATATGCACAGCAAAACCACTTTGTAGCATTAAAAAATGTGTATGATGTATACAAACCCTCATGCTTAAGTGTGTAAGTGATAAGGATAGGAAGACTTTTATCCTGTGGGGTTATTGTCACGGGTAGAGATTTCTTCCCCATTTTTCTGAAGCATCTGTTTCTGATGATTGTTGGAAGCAGGACACAGGACTTGATCAAACACAGGTTCAAACGGGTTCCAGCACTGCAATTCCTCTGTTACTAGGCTCTCTAGCCCCAAAAGGTAAAAAATAAATAAATCACATTTTACATTAAAAGACATTTAATACACAGAACTGACTCTTAAATAATGATTATTACAAATATATACACATTTTGCATTTCTATGTCTATTTTTTTGCTCTTTCAAACCCTCCTCAAACTATGTCTTTGAAGAAGAATTAGTGGTGACAGATTTATTGTCCAAGATCGTGTTGATACTGGTGCTGCAGGGGCTCTGACCAGTACTTGGGAATTAACTTCTGCACATCCAATCTCCAAAATCAATCCAATTTACTCCTATCATCTAAATCAGTTCTCCCACCAGCCTGTGACAGTCCCCCTGTATCAATGCACCTACTGTTTCCTCCTCTTTGCAGGGAGGCTGCAGGTCCAGCCAAGATGCTTTCCTTCCCTGACGCTGGATTTGAGGGAGTGGTAGATACAGGAATTAGTCTTTAACTCTTGACCATTTCTGCATTTTTCCAAAATGAAGTTTTTCAGAGTTTTCTTCTTGTCTGTTTTTGATAGCTCTTTATACCTATATAGCAAGGGTCTCTTTCCTGTGATAAATGTACATCTTTTCCTGCTACAGCAAAGAGGCTACAGCCTGACTCTAAGCCTCAGCTCAGAGCATTTGCAACAGACTAGAATATTCGGGTGCTCCTCCATGGCTGGTTTGCCCTGAAGTATTTAACACTGCTGGGTGCCCTGAAACGGAGATTAGAGCCTGGAAACCTTAAGAAAATTGACCAGGGTAGTTCTCAATGTTCTAGTCCAGAGAAGGAAACCTGGAAGTCTATCCCTAACCCCCAAATGGTGTGTCTATCAAATGCTTTGGTATTCAGTTACCCGTTTCCATTAGCACACACCACTTTTATTTGGAAAGGGGCTCCTCCAGTCTTGGGAGACTACAGCCTAAAGACAAGCAGACCTTGGATGAGAACGGTATTTTATGACAAACAGTGGAGACAACCACTGCCACCACGCCTTGTGACAACCTGCTCAGGGACAGTATGTTGTTACTTCTGGGTAGATGCTGCATTTCCCACATTTCCATGACAGCTGACAGAAAATAATTCCCAATGTTCTGGAGGTCACTCCAGCTGTAAGTATCCAATTAATGTACGAATCAGATAAATGGATGCTAATAAAGATTCTGCAGACCTTCCCGGTGGTAAGAAACAGGTGAACAGTGTTGTTCAGGATGTACACCTACTGCATGGAGTATTGCACTGAATTAAAAAGTGGACACAATGTCTTCCCTATGAAGAAATAGGAAATAAGACTCTATTATAACTCTTCCACTTCTATGCAAAATTTTTGGAGATTTTACAGTAAGATTTTACCCTTCAGAGTTTTACAACTTTCTGCAAAAGAAAAGCCTCTGTCAAATGTTGCAACAACCACAGAATAAATTTCTTAAAATACAGACATCAGAAAAGCTTTAATCACAGAATCTAGACATCAGGTCTAGGCTAGTAGGGAAGTGTGAATAAATCTGATGGAAGTCAGGGGTACAGGCACGGCAGAAACTCGACATGGCTTTGACCCTGCAATGTCAGACCACAAGGACAATTAAGTTAATTAATACAAGCCTATAATGAGCTCTTATGCTGGTTCTTCCAGTCAGCCTAGGTGAGCGACCTTTACTTCGGCATTGCTTGCATGTTGAAATTCTTAAATTTGTGTTTAAGCCAGCTTTTATATGAAATGCATTTATCTACATGTGCACACACCCCCGTTTGTGGAGGTACACTGACTTCAAGGGATAAAAGACCAACCCAGCTCTCAAAAGAAACCCCCCCCCCTTACATGGGGGAACGTGGCTGCCTTGTTCTGCTCCCCCCATTGTTATTGTGTTACCTGAGACAGGATCACAAGGTGTTAAATTCAAGGTAAAGCAAACGGTGTAGGCATGAAGAGGCAGATGGCTTGAGAAAGCTCACCCTCAACAAGACCCAAAAATATCTGAACTGAAGTGCTATCGGAGTGTCACACTGAATGTCACATTGATGTTGGCCTCACAGCACGGCACAAGGTGGAATGAAGGGTTTATAGAAGGGGCATTCCCTGAAGCCAGGGGAGAGGGGAGCCAGGACCTGGAGCCTCTCCCATCTCCAGGGACAGGGGACACAGGGAGAAAGGCCCTGCCCTGAGCGTGTAGGTCGGGGCAGCACGTGGGCAAACCTCCTCCTGCCTTACTTTCTTTTCACACAGATCTCCCCCAGAGGCTGAGATGTGGTTCTGGGCTCCTCCTTTATTGATGGAAGACTCCCAGAAGAAATGTGCAGAGGACAGGATCTCCCTGGGCTCCCTGGTGGTGCCCGTGCCACGGGCAGAGCTGTAAGCTCCAGCACAGGAGTAGGACAGTAATGGGTTTCTGCCCAAGGAGAGGAGAAGCTCAGGGGCCAGCACGGCTGGGAGTGGGCTTGGGACTGTCTGGTGGGGGCCGGGGAGAAGACAGTCCTGAGGCAGCAACGTTAAGACTTTTTTAAAAAAAGTCTTAAAAACTGTAAGCTCCAGCACAGGAGTAGGACAGTAATGGGTTTCTGCCCAAGGAGAGGAGAAGCTCAGGGGCCAGCACGGCTGGGAGTGGGCTTGGGACTGTCTGGTGGGGGCTGGGGAGAAGACAGTCCTGAGGCAGCAACGTTAAGACTTTTTTAAGTCTTAACCACCAGGGAGCCCAGGGACATCCTGTCCTCTGCACACTTCTTCTGGGAGTCTTCCATCAATAAAGGAGGAGCCCAGAACCACATCTCAGCCTCTGGGGGAGATCTGTGTGAAAAGAAAGTAAGGCAGGAGGAGGTTTGCCCACGTGCTGCCCCGACCTACACGCTCAGGGCAGGGCCTTTCTCCCTGTGTCCCCTGTCCCTGGAGATGGGAGAGGCTCCAGGTCCTGGCTCCCCTCTCCCCTCTCCGGGACACATGCGATGACTAAAATATAACTTACTTATTAGTTATAATAACTTACTTATTAGCAATATGGTGATTCCAATATTCAGTGCACTCCGCAAATATGATTTTCGATTTTTTTTTATGACATATACCACTTCCATACATGAATTAAAGCAAAACAGAGGCAACGTGGCTTTGTGGATGCAGAGAGGCACTGGACTGGGAACTACAAAACAGGATTCAGTTCCTGGCTCGAGCCCAGACTCCCAGGTAAGACATTCATTAAGACAGAAAATACAACAATGGCCTCCTAAGAAAACCCTGAAATATACTGAAAAAAAAAGAGCACTGAATGTGACTCAGACCTTATTATTATAAATTAATTCGGAACTTTATAACACTTTCTCTTGTCTCTTTAGAGATTACATGATAACTAATTTCATTAAGCACGACTGCTGCCAATATTGCGTAAAAATAATTGAATGAAACATGAGTAACTGAATGTATACGAGGGGTTCCACCAGAATGAAGTCACATTCTTTCCCTTCTTTGAACCCAATTAATGAAGTACTGAGAAGTGTGCAAGTAAGTGTGAGCACCCAGAGAAATCCCAGAAAGAAAACCGGTCCCGCAGGAAGCGTGACTCCATAGAGAGAATTTTGGAGATAAGAGGATTTTATGTCCAAAGTCTTCAGTGGTACTTGAGCAAACAGTTATGTACTTATCAATGCAGGGAGGATGCTTTTCTGAGAAGGGGTCTAAATTTCAGTGTTGATTGAAGTTCATGAAAACTGCGTAAGAAAATGTGTTATTAAGTCACACAAGCATAAATATGCACAGCAAAAGTGAAACCAAAGTATTTTTCTTATTAAGTAATATTTAAAATAACGTGATGACCACCAACAGAGGAAAAAATCCACAAAGATATTTTTTGCAATTTATTTTCAATTATAGTTTTTGGATAACCAAGCAGCTCTGTATGGAGAAAGCACAGAAGAGTCATTCTGGCACTTTTGGATAGTACATTATTAATTTTTTTTTTTTTTTCCCAAAACATTTCTAGACACATTCAGTCCACTTGCTCGGTCTATAGTCCATTTTATATGAGCATGATTAGCTCATACGATTCCAGAGGAAACTAACAATATATACAGTCAATGAAACTATCTTCTTGGCTACTCTCGGCCCTTTAAAATGTCTTCTAAGTCTATCCTGGCTAAACAGAATCCACAATATACATGATAGCTACAGAATACACTGTATTGAAATGAGAAATGCTCAGCACAAAATGGGGCTCTTGGCATGCAGCTTAAAATAAAAGGTAGAAGTTCAGAAGTTTATAAAATCCCAAACGGGGTCAATTAAAAGGAGTTAGCAAAAGAAGGGACTGTTCATCGTTACTGTAAAAAAGGCACTTTGAGTAAATGGGACCAGAATTGGAGGAATCTTAGTCGACACAAAGTTCAGTTTGGTTTCATAAAAAGGCTTCAATGCTAAGGGATGCTACTCAAGTTTCCTGCAGTTTTACATTAAAATAAATTGCTGAGTAGTTTATAATAAAGGACATAAAATGTTTACAACCAACTTGGAAAATTAAGGAAAGCATAGTATAAGCAAAATATTACTAAAAGCAGCAATGCATAGCCTTTCATTGAGATAATGCACAATTTTGGACACCACGTGTCAAACTCTTGTTTTTAAGATACTTTCAGTAGCATTATCAACATAAAATTGGCCTATAAAACAAAAGCTTTACCAGCTCCCATTCATCAGGAGATTGAGGTCATAAACCAACCAAAACAATTTGTCAGTATTTTCAACATCCTGGATGACCAATATCAAGTATATGGAATAACAATCACACTCTTTGTTCAGCTATCTCACCGGAGGCAGCTGTTAAATCAGAGGAATGATTTTAATTCTTTTCTAACATTTACACAGTAATGCATTTAAGTTCTTTCAAATGTTGCTCACCACAGTTTGTTTTTCTTTTCTCTCCACAAAAAAAAAAAAAATAAAGAAAAAAAAGAAAAAAATAATCAAGCACTTCCACAGAAAGAATATTTGGCAATTTTATACTCCACTGAATGGTGGATTTTCACAAAAGCTCACTTTAGATTGAAAGTCATTAGTGGTCTTTCCTCTCGTTTCTGCCAAGGACTCTTCTTATCTTCACCTTGGTCATCTTCCTCATCCTCCTCATCCTCCTCATCATCTTGAACTGATGTTCCGTGCTCAGGACTAGTTAATGGCTCTGGTTTGGTGTCCACAGTTCTCGTTTCCTCCTGCAGGCTGGGCAGCTGCACGCCACTTCTCTTACTGGTGCCTTCTAGTAGGCATCGTATAGTATTGTCCTCGGGGCTACAAACTGCTGTGCCACACTCGCTGCCACTTTGGTCCATATCATCCAAGTACACGAGCTGTGTGTAAGCTGTGCTATCCGAAACCTTCCGCTCTCTCTGCTGGTGCTCCTGCACTGGTGGGTGACTCTGTGGCGCAGACAGATGATCTCCTCTTCCCTTTCGGGCAGATTTTGGTTCATTCATGTCAACACCAGAGTCCAAACTGGCGTCGTTACTCCCATTCCTACCAGCTCTTTGGAGATCGATGTACGAATGTCTAACGTGAGCATTTGAACGTCCATCTAGAGAAACAAACCACGCTCGAGGATGAGGCAACGGCTTCCCACCTCCTAACTCCATCAAAGCCTTTTCTGTAAGGAGCTGCACTTCGCTATTCATTTGAGCCAGGGATGCATCGTTAAGTGAGGCAGGAATGGAAATAGATTCAGACATAGAAGCATTCTGTTGGCTCCACTCAGCTGCACCTGCATCTTGCAAATGCTGCTGAGATATTGCTTGGGATGCCAACTGCTGGGGCTGCAGCTGCTGGGGGGGGTGTGGAAACAGCCGCGCGTGAGGGTTAGGAAGCTCAGCCTGAAGTCTTTCTATATCAATCTGCTGGTCAGCTGGGACAACCAGCGGCTGGCTAACAAAAGGGTGTTCTCCTGGCAATTTCATATAATGACCTGGGATGACCAATGCAGGCAAAACTTTTCTGTAAACACTGTCATTGACCTGGTCAACAGAACTGCAGCAGATTAACTGACCCGGTCGAGGGAAGGATGTAGGTCTTTCAAGGTGATCAACTGAACGAGACATCATACAATCAGTAGGTCTGCAGTCCAGCAGCTCTTTTTCAGGGGCTGAAGGTGTGGGGTATATTTGTTCCTGAATATTGTATTTACTTCCAGTAGCAATATGGTTCATAGATACTTGAATTTCTCTCTCTTGCTTTTCAAATAAAGGCTGAGACAGCATAGCATTGTAACTTCTCCTATAGTCATCTTTGACAGGGGACTCATAGCCTTCAGCTGTTTCTGTAGATTTTCTTGGCTTTAAAGGAAAACTATCTGCTGATTTGTGGTAGTCTTTTCTCAGAGACCCGCTGGGAGTCAGGTCACCCAAGGAAATTCTGCTCTTGTCTTTCTCCTTGTCCGAGAGCAGCTCCTCTCGGGAGCTAAACTCCTGGGAAGTACTGAAGGAGTGTTTGAGCATGGGTGTGTGCATGTCTGCTTCCCCACCGGGGGATGCCATCTCCATGTGGACAGCACTGATCAGTTCCTTTGCACCTGAGTTTTCGGTGTGTCCATTGCTAGCGACGGACATCCCGCCAGGGAACTCCGACTCGCGGCGGGAAAATATCAGATTTATGTGGGACATAGAGGTCGCTTGATCCTTCTTAGAAGTGTCCAGTGCTGTGGAAAGTTGCAGTTTCTTATGATGCTGACGTGGTCTTAAACATTTTCTTCTAGAAAAGCCGGTAACAAAAAAAAGTTACACATTTATGACTGTTATACACAGAAACAAGAACAGCAAGCGTGTCTTAATGAGAGATTTTTAAGCAGTGATTAATATTAGGGGAATGGAGCTTTTATTACATAACCTAACAATTAAAAGCTTATGCCAACGGTGAAGATAAAATTAAAGAGTAACTAATGTCAATTGGGAAATATCTCACTTAAGCACCAACTACAAATTGGAGCAAAAGTCTGGAGGAGGCAAATACAAAATCACTCATTAATAGACACTTGCTGATAAAAGTTTAACATTCATTTTACTATAAGACTGATAGAAAGATCACTTGCAAATGTGTAACAGGTACCATGACAGACATCTTGGACCTAGGGCTATGTTCATTTTAGAAGGTCTTTAAAGGAGAACACAGGTACAGCTGTGTGTGATTCATCCAACTAACATCCCACCCAAGGCAGGAATTGTATACGCTGGATGTAACCAGGATCGTAGGAAATTTGATCTCACTGTCTCTTTCTTCTTCAAGTGCTTGCTTTCTGCCCCCCCAGCCCCGAAGTAAAAATGTTTCAATACAAAAAGGAGCACAATTTTTAATTTCAGAAGCACAAAAAAGCTTATATTTCCAACATGAACTAAGTAGCCGGGATGGTGAATCTTACCTGCAGTAATACAAGAGCAGACACAGCAAGACTAGAAGTATGAGAGCCATCCCTCCTAAAATTGCCAAAAGAAACATTGTGTGATAGCTGGTAATGTCGTGTGTTACAACGGGACCTGGAAGGCCAGAAAAGAGAATTTAGACCCGTAACAATCTGCAAACAGGAAGAGGAACAACACTTAAACAAAGAGAGGGACATCTCCCCTTCTTATCAGGATGCTAAGTGAGCAACACCGCCACTCATAGCCCTGGTGCCTATTGAGCAGACCATCTCTGGAGAAGGGAGCAAGCTGTGGAGCAAGCATGTGCTGGTTTTCATGACTGCAAGTCCAAATAGATCACTCTGTGGAAAAGCAGCTGGTTTCAATGGGAGCATGCATCAGTGAATGCTGCCTTCCAGGTCCTGATGGCGACACAGCGCGCCACAGCTCTCAGCTCTGGAGAAAAGCCATCACAGCATCTTCCAGGGCTGTAATGCACCTAGGAGTGCTGTGGCCAACAACTCCTCTTTAACAACATTTGTGTTGCTTGGCACTAAGCAGTACACACAGTGCAGTAAAGGATTAATTGGAAGATGGGCTGGTGCTCTTTAGTCTAGACCAAGCCAAGCCAAGCAGATCTTCAGTAGCTTTAGAAAACGTGCCACTAGTGAAAGAGTGTTGTTATCTCCAGGTTCCAGTAACTCTTAGTCAATGTTGTAACGCACAGAGGAGTGCACACCATGTGCACAGCATCTGTTCACAACTATGCATGTGTAACCCTGTTGGTTTGTAAAATCCGCACCGCCAGTTTGAAATAAAAGCCCAAATTTCCATCTGCAGGCAAGGAGGTGCAGCACGAGCTGACAGAGTAACATGCACGGACTGTGAAGGACAGCAAACTTGGCCAACGTTAAGGTTCTAGACGATGAGGTCTGTAAAACCTCATCTGTGGTTCTTGAGTGGTCTGTTAGGAACTGCTAGGAATACAAAGAAAATTTCGGATCACTTTTGAGATAAGGAATCAAATAGACTCAACGAGGGGATAAAATAAACAAAAATATATTAACCTGATTAAAAATAACATCAAGTATATTGCATTAGGGAAATCTAACTATTTATACATTCTATCCTGCCACTACCTTTACATAATTGATTGAAACTCTTGCTTCAGGACATTAGGCAAAAAGGAGAAAAGATAAATCACTCAAATTTTTCATGAAAATGTTGTTGCCACTACAACAGAGTTTTAGGAACCCAAATCTAGCCCTCAGAAAGAAAGAAATTTGTCCAGTAAGGACAAATAAGCCTTCTCCTGTTAGAGTTAACAGGCCAATCTCACGACTAGTGTAACTTCTTTGCAGTCTGGGACAGAGCTCTACCAGGAAACACTTGGCTCATCTGCTTTTTCTTAAAGTACAATTATTTTGTAAAATTTGATTAAATTCAATATGATAGTTTATTCAGATCTGCATCTGCATCTAAACTCTGTTCAACCATGTATCAGATGAATATTCCAATAATTTCATTTAATATAGCCTTAGGCAAAAAGCTTGTGTAAGGTATAACACAGTAAAACCCCCAAGTGCTCTCCGTATCATGAAACACCTTCATGGCATATGTAAGCAGACTTTTAAAAACAGTCCTCCTGTTAGAGTTTGTTTTGTTGGTTAGGTGGTTTATTTAGCTTGCACTGCCGAGGCAGGAATGTTTTCATTACTACTGTATTTGCTTTTCATCCAGAAGACTTAATAAAGAAAATCTGTAAGAGGAGGAGTTTTTTTGTTGGAGCGACTGGCTCTTTTCTACAGACAGGTATCTCTGATTATCCGTGGCTGAAATGCTAATACTAAGAAATCTGAGGCGGCCACAGACAGAAAAAAGGAGGAGCAAGCTGCAACGTTAATGACCTCCACAGTCACAGAGGTGCCTGTAATGCCCAGTTCAAAGGGATTTTCTACAGTGATGCCAAGAAGCTTGCAGATGGCAAGCAGTCAGCTCATCTACCAATGCTGCTCTGCCAACTCACTTCCCGGGGTGCCTATGCTGAGTTATTCCTGGTGTGAATTAATCAGTCACCAAGGTGATGCAAAGTCTAAGAGCAAAATGAGCATCTTCAGTTTAAAAGAAAAAGCACTGCAGTCCATCCATCCATCAGTACATGTTTAACCCAGGATGACGCTGGTCTTAGGTGAATCCATTTCTTTGGGAATTTCTGCACAGAAACTTCACAGCACGTATTTTTCTACCTGCTGGAACACCAACACATGGATGTTATAACTCCCCTCATTTTCTAGCAATGGCTCTACCAGGCAGTGGTGACATAAATGCATCAAAGCAGGAACACTTCAAAAAGATTCTCATTGAAATTAGTCAAGAGATTTTGAGCACAAGGGTTGCCGCTCACAATCCCCAGAAGATTTTAGCCCTTTACTTTCAGATTTCTGTTTTCTAATAATCCATTATTGATCAAGCTGTGGCATCTCAGATGAGGTCATTCTGAAAAATATAAATGTTATATATGAATAAATAATTACTCAGTGCTGAGAATATCAATAGAATTCAAGTCCATCATACCTGGGACGGTAGGTGACATGGCTGCAACCCAATAGCCCAGCTGAGGTGCGATGTAAGTCCAAGTCAACTGATTTCCTTCTTGTTGTACGAGGCCCAAGCTACTCTTCAGCCATGTCCCTGTAAATAAAAAGGTTGCAGGAAGGTGTTACAGATACACCCACACCTTCCTCTGCAAAGGAGTGGAAAAGCAAACAGAAACAAACCCCGTTGAGGTGCTGCAGGGGTTGTGTGCACTGCTGGCACGGCGGAGATGGGCCTTTTTGTCACCTCCATCTGAGGGCTCCCACAAGCAACCAGCCCCACGCCCTTCTCAGAAGCTTTGTACACAAACTACATTTAAGATGAAATAAAATTAATAAAGCTTCAGAAAGGGTTAAAGAATTAGAATAATTAAATAACAAATTCCTCTTTTTTGAAGGATTCACCTGAAACTGATTATATGTAGATAGCCCACATAAAAACTGAAGACAGTTTTTCAAATACGAAGAGACAGAATCACAGAACAGTTAGAGTTGGAAGGGACCTTAAAAATCATGGAGTGCCAACCCCCCCTGCCCTGGGCAGGGACACCTCCCACCAGACCAGGTTGCTCCAAGCCCCATCCAGCCTGGCCTTGAACCCCTCCAGGGATGGGGCAGCCACAGCTTCTCTGGGCAACCTGGGCCAGGCTCTCACCACCCTCACAGCAAAGAATTTCTTCCCAATATCTAATCTAAATTTCTCCTCTTCCAATTTAAAACTGTTTAAAACTGTTACCCCTTGTCCTGTCACTGCACTTCCTGCACTAAATCTCCCCTCTTCTAGTTTGATGCCATTACCTCTTGTATCACTACATGCCCTTCTAAAAAGTCGCTCTCCAGCTTTGTTGTAGGCCCCTTCTAGATACTGGAAGTCTGCTAGAAGGTCTCCCTGGAGCCTTCTCTTCTCCAGCTCTCTTAAGCCTGTCCTCATGGGAGAGATGCTCCCAGACCACCCTTCCATCAGCTCTGGCTGTCAACTTCTGGAAGACTGAAGAAAATACTTCTTCAAAATGTTGCTTTTCCTATACAAGGTTCTGAATGCAACTGCCAGTAAATGCATAATTAAGTTGCACCATCACTTTGATTCAGCAACGTTAGTCATTCAGAAGATGCATACATCAGGGAATACACTTTGGTAATGGATGATGAGGGTTTTAAAATATGTTTCTCAAAGGAAATATAATAGATTTTTCAGAATCATCAAGTGATCATTTCGAAATAAGTAAGACGGACAATTTAAAGCACTGTGTTTAAATTAACAAAGCAAATACTCCAGATTGACAATCTGTGGAGAACTGTTCTATTTGCAGAAGACTGCAAGAATTGGGCTACAAAAAACCTTCACAACTGAATAAGCCGTTTGCCTTTTTGTAATTCATTAAGACCTCAGATTCTGGGCTTGTATGAGAAAGAATACACTTTAGTTTCTGATCTATTAAATGTCTGGTGTGGCTTGTAGACTGGTCTCATCTTTCTTCTCTTAGAAAGAAACACAGGATTGCTCTACCATGCGCTGCTGAGAATGAATCAGGTAACAGGTTAGAGATCTAGCTCATGGAGAGGGCATGAGCTGACTAAGGAGGTTCTTCACAGGCTTTGGTGGCCACCAGAAGTACGGCTGATGGGCGAACAGAGAAGGGATAAACCCCTCTGCTCTTCTGTAGCACAGCTCTGTATTTCGGTGGAAAATGAGGGGGTCAGAATGCTGCACTGACCGTACTCAGCTTCAAGTGCTTGCTTTAAAGGCAAGTTCCATCTTGTACTTGTGGTTCCCTTTCCTTTAAACGGTCTCCCACACGCAATTCCCCACGTGGTGCTTTCCATCAGACGCTGCTCGGGACTAAGCACGAGCCTTTGTGGCCGAGGGTGGTCTGTGCAATCAGCAGCGGGTGCAGAACACACAAGAGATGCTGTTGTTTTGGGGTTTTCATACCACTGAGATCCTGACGATTTTCTCTGTGTTCCTTCGATTACCCACCTGTGCTAACCCTGTACATATGAGAATGGCTTTTCCTCTCTACTACTGATTTTTCCCATGAAAGTACACCTTAAAGTCCACCACCTTTGGCTAATAATAAACCCCTGTGAATATAGTGAAAGGTTTAGAAAAAAACACATTTGAGAGGATTTCTAGATCTAGGTGACTGTTATTGCCAGATAGTGACTCTGTATTTGCAACCAAACTGAATTTGTGGGCAACAGGGGAAAAGCATTACTGACATAATTTTCAGTTTTCCAAGTATCATTCCCAGTCTGTACAGGGTAGCAATAACTTGTTACTTCATAAATAAAGTCATACAAGTAATTTTAATTCACAATACCAAAAGGACCAAAATCTTTAAACAGACTTGCACATATGGGATCTGTAACCATCATATCAGAACACCCTGATGTAGCTATTAGTTTACTTCTTTTAGGGGAACGTTATCAGGAATTATAGAATTGAATCGTCCACAGCTATGTGTGAAGTTTCTGGAAAAACTTGGGAAAGTAGATTCATTTTCTCCACCAAGACGGCTACGATCCCTTCAGATTGTCTACCCATGCACTTTTGAGGCAGATGTCATACTAACAGCCCTGAACCACAAGGTGAAAAATAGCTCAAAAAGTCAAAACCTGCTCTTATCTTGTGCCTAAAATGCCATTTGGTAAGAGAACTCCTATACATTTAAACTTTGTATTTTTTTTCCACAAGGTCTGGACAATGAGAATATGCACCAACCATTCTAATACACAACTATGTGAAACAAAGCTTTAAGAGTAAAAGAGCTACAGAAGTGCCAATTTAAAAAAAAAAAAAGAACGGAAGGACGTGTGTGATGAATTCCTGCTGCTTCCCACACTTCTCGAACCGTCTCTAAGCTCTTCAAATTCACACACAAGCGGAACACATACGTCTCTAAGCTCTTCAAATTCACACACAAGCAGAACACATACATGGCCAAGAAGGCCAATGGCATCCTGGCTCGTATCAAGAATAGCGTGGCCAGCAGGAGTAGGGAAGTCATCGTGCCTCTGTACTGGGCACTGGTGAGGCCTCACCTCGAGGGCTGTGTTCAGTTTTGGGCCCCTCACTACAGGAAGGACATTGAGGGGCTGGAGCGTGTCCAGAGGAGAGCCACCAAGCTGGGGAGGGGTCTGGAGAACAAGTCCTACGAGGAGAGGCTGAGGGAACTGGGCATGTTGAGTTTGGAGAAGAGGAGGCTGAGGGGAGACCTCATTGCCCTCTACAACTACCTGAAAGGAGGGTGTAGAGAGGCAGGTGTTGGCCTCTTCTCCCAAAGGACGAACGACAAGACCAGAGGAAATGGTCTGAAGTTGGGGCAGGGGAGATTTAGATTAGATATTAGAAAGAACTACTTTACTGAGAGAGTGGTCAGGCCCTGGAACAGCCTGCCCAGGGAGGTGGTGGAGTCACCATCCCTGGAGGGATTTAAGAAACGTATAGACATGGCTCTTCAGGGCATGCTCTAGTGCCCAAGGTTATTGGTTTATGGCGAGGTGTTGAGTGTGGGGTTTAGTTGGTGGGTGCGGTGTTTTTGGTGGGCGTTTGGTGTGGTGTGTTTTGTATTTGTTTGGTGTGGTGTTTTTTTTTTTTTTTTTTTTTTTGTGGTTGGACTCGATGATCTCAGAGGTCCCTTCCAACCACTAAGATTCTGTGATTCTGTGATTCTGTGATATGGAATTTAGCAAAGTTCATTATCTTGGTAGTCTATTTCTACAGCCAGCTCCTCGGGCAGAAGCTATTATTGATTCCCTCACTAGGGGGAACTTGTGTCCAGCTCGCCTTATTCACATGACACTGCACTCTCATGAACACACTCCTCCTCATGCTTCTTAGAAAGCCTTTAGCTCTGGCACACTCTGCTTGCACCATGCAGCCGTGAAGGGGCCACCAGAAGCTGCACCGTATTTTAGCTACGAAAGGAATCCCCGGATTTGCAATGGATGCAAACAAGAGAGTCCACTGCGTAAGGGCAGTCAGCCTTCCTGCTTGTCTTCTGCTCATTTAGGGCACCCATTTTCGCTGACCATGGGATATACAGAATCACAGAATCTTCTAGGTTGGAAGGGACCTTAAAGATCATCTTGTCCAACCATCAACCTAACTGACAAAAATAGACACCCACACAACAAACAAGGAGCATCATCACTAAACCAGACCTCCCAGCACTACATCAACCCGGCTTTTGAACACCTCCAGGGATGGGGCCTCCACCACCTCCCTGGGCAGCCCATTCCAATGCCTGATAACCCTTTCAGTGAAAAAATTTTTCCTAATATTCAGCCTGAACCTCCCCTGGCACAACTTGAGGCCATTTCCTCTTGTCCTGTCGCCTGTGACTTGAGAAAAGAGACCGACCCCCATCTCTCTACACCCTCGAGGAAATGTATGAGTCTGTACAACACTAGGCAAAGCCGTAATTCCCTCTCTCTATTATGGACACTTAGAAATCTCCAAAGCACAGCAGATCTATCAGATATTGGTCATCTTTAAACACGAGTGGTGCAGCTTGTGTTGGCCATAGCCTACATGTTAGTATGTGAGGACAGCTAGAAAATAATTACTTTTTAATGGCACTGTCCCAAGTTCCTTCATCAGGACAACACCAAGTGTGGGCTCCTGGGAACCACGGGTACACAATCTCATCAGCTGCCTTTCTTAACACTCTCCTGGTCCAGCACTTCAGTGATAAACTCACCTCTTACACTTCCACCATCTCCTACCAACAGTCCACTAACAAAGCAGAGCATCCCCCTGCACAGTGGAATGAAAAGAATAAAGAGCTCCATCCTCCACAACAGCAGTGGCAAAACCGGTTTCAGTGGAACCAGCTGAAACACAAACTCCTGTATTGTTTCTTGTGTGATCAAATAACTGAAAGCCAACACAGGATTACTGGAGGAACGATGTGCCTTCATGTATTGGGTTTGCAAGGCCAAGTTTTGGTAGCAGGGGGGCTACAGGGGTGGCTTTTGTGAGGAACTTCCCCCATGTTTGACAGAGCCAATGCCAGCCGGCTCCAAGATGGACCCACCACTGGCCAAAGCTGAGCCCATCGGCAATGCTGGTAGCACCTCTGGGACAGCACATTT